GTTCCTGGATCTGTTGCATTTCGTTCTTTTTTTGTTGTCGGAATTAAAGATTTGGTTTTGAGTAATTTCAATGGATTATATAAGTTCGAGTAATGTAAATCTGAAATCTTGGAAGATTCGGTCTCATAAATGTACAAAACTTCGAAAGATTTTGTGTTTGGGATTGAAAAGTTTCGGTCTTTAGGTTTTTTTGGCTTTCAACTTTGAGTGGATTTGTCTGATTGCAGTTTTGTGGTATGCTGAAAAGAGATGTCTTTGAAAAGCATCCTTCGTGATTTGAAGGAAGTTAGGGATGGACTTGGAGGTATCTCGAAGCGAAGCTGGTCAAAATCGTCTCACATTGCACCCGATCAAACGGCGCCACAGCTGGAAAACGTCCCGCAGAGCCCGTGGGCTTCTTTGCCACCTGAATTGCTTCATGACATAATCCGGAGAGTTGAAGAGAGTGAGACCGCTTGGCCTGCTCGAGCAGCCGTGGTCGCTTGTGCTTCTGTTTGTAAATCATGGAGAGGAATTACAATGGAGATTGTGAGAATCCCTGAGCATTGTGGGAAGCTCACTTTTCCAATCTCATTGAAACAGGTAAAGATAAGTTTTACCGGTTTTTTTTTCCTCCAAATTTTGTTCATCGTCATCGTCGTGTTCGAAGCTTCTCAGTCTCTTGTTTGATTTGTGAGCAGGCAGGGCCACGAGACTCGCCTATTCAATGCTTTATTAAGAGGAATAGAGCAACGGCTACATATATTCTCTACTATGGCTTGATGCCTTGTGAGTGATACGTATTCCTTGGCTGAAAGTTAATGTTCAACAATGCAGAAATCGTTGTGTCCTAATGATGATATTATTTTGAATGACAGCGGAGACGGAGAACGACAAACTGTTGTTAGCAGCAAGAAGGATTCGGAGAGCGACATGCACGGATTTTATAATCTCACTGTCTGCTAGAAACTTCTCACGGAGTAGCAGCACATATGTTGGCAAACTAAGGTAAGGAATTGTATTGGTTTGACCGTGACTTAAACCGTCGAAAGCTCTTTTTTCTAAACAGTCTCTACTTGTATTTTGGGATAGATCTGGTTTTCTGGGAACCAAGTTCACAATATATGACAACCAAACAGCATCATCCATAGCACAAGCCCAACCTAACCGAAGAATTCACTCCAAGCAAGCATCGCTTAAGTTACCTGCTAATAGTTACACCGCAGGAAACATAACCTACGAGCTCAATGTTCTTCGCACAAGGGGACCTAGAAGAATGCATTGCGTTATGGACTCTATACCACTATCTTCTGTTATTGCTGAACCATCAGTAGTTCAAGGCATTAAAGAGAAAGTATCTTCGTCGCCTTCACCAAAAGGAGAAACCAGCTCAACAGACAAAGAGATTGCTGATATTTCTCCAAGCTTGTTGGATCAACCACTGGTTCTCAAAAACAAATCCCCACGATGGCACGAGCAATTGCAATGCTGGTGCCTCAACTTCAAGGGGAGAGTGACAGTTGCTTCAGTTAAAAATTTCCAGCTTGTGGCAGACATTGACTCTTCTTTGGATGCGTCGCCTGAAGAACATGACAGGGTGATCTTACAGTTTGGAAAAATCGGCAAGGACATTTTCACCATGGATTATCGCTATCCTCTCTCTGCTTTTCAAGCCTTTGCTATATGCATCAGCAGCTTTGACACTAAACCGGCGTGTGAAGGGTAAAAGTTAACCCCCGAGTAAAATCCATCTCCACAAATCATCATATAAGGCTTTTATAATCTTCAGGTTTCGATATATCAAGCCATGAAAAAAGCTCTTTCAAGTATGTAGATTGTTGTAGCTCTTTCAAGTATGCTTTAGACCCGCCTCTCTTAATTCACTGTGAGAAAAAAATTGATGGGGCTCTTGGTGTATAAGCATAATGAAGTTATGATTGTTATATCCAATGCAATATATAAACAGAAGCCATTACAACGATAACATACGAAAGTCTGAGATTCAAAATCTAATGCAACTATAGACTCTCCTTGGGGATCCAATAAGCAGTGATCTTTAAGAGTCCATGTTCTTCGAACTTCTCTTGCCCAAATTTCTCATCTCAACGTCGAATAAGTGAGAAACTCCATTGAAGTAAAATGGAACGGTTGGCGTGGAATAGGGTTCCTGCAATCACAAAGATCAAGAGTTATGAAGCACAAGTTTAAACCAAAGTATATTATGTGAATCTGGACAGTTTTAAGTCAGTGAAGGGGAGATGGAGACGTACGGTCTAGGGCCGTAAACTTTGATCTGTCGGATATGAGTATCTCTCCCATTTAGGTGATTCGACAAAATGGCTATTTGCAACATGAATGTATTGACAAAAAACTCCCTGCAAAGAGGGCAAAATAGTTAACCATATCAGCTCTAAGCTTAATAACCAACACAAACAAGTTAGTTTAGATATTTAGTAAGTAAAACCTCAAAGCCAATGGCTCAAAAGCTTGATATTAGAATCCCAACATATCTCAGAGTGGAAACTCGCTAGCTAAAGACACGTCTAAGGAATATCAATAACTCTTGCAGGAATTATTTGAACAAGACCATCTTTATATGTACAAAAGAGAAACCAATCATAGAACTAACATTGTAGCAAACACTAATGCTCATCTTATCAGCAACTAGGTAGAGTGTTTCCCAAAACCAAAAGAAACCGAAATATAGTTTGGATAGAAACAAAAATGGCGCAGAACATACCGTGGATCGGTTCCAGAGAGAGATACACAAACCCAACCAGTTGGTTTCACAAGCTCCACACTTTTAATCTCCTAAAAAATTGAAGAGAAGTAGACACAACATGAGAC